TGGGAGAAAGATGAGGCTTTCTGCTCCCGTAAAGATTTACAGCCTTGGAAACCCTGTGCAGGGTCACTATGAGTCAGAACCAACTCCACGGCACATCACAACAACAACAACAACAAATATTTGAAAAGGATCATGCTGGCTGCTGTGGTGAGAATAGTCTGCATGGAGAAAAAAAAAGAAAAGAAACAAGAAAAGGGTTATCAAAGGCAAAACATGATGGTTGGCCCTGGGTGATAGTAACAGTGGAGGTCACGAAGCATAGTTGAAATTTGAATTGATTTTGAAGAGCCAAATGATTTCCCATGGATTGGATTTGAAATGTGAGACAAACTGAAAAGTCAAGATTTGGAACCTGTGATGAGGAAGACTTTGGCTGGAAAAGGATGGCTGAGAGACAGGGAGAGACATTCCAGGAGTTAATTGTTAGAAATATTAAGTGAAATACATAGTAGATATTCCAAGTGGCTAGTAGCATGTGGCACTGTAGGACAATCACTGGACTGTTATCTTCAAGGTCGGCAGTTCAAACCCATCATTTGCTCCTCGTAAACTCTATACATGGTCGCTATGAGTCAGAACTGACTCAACAGCACTGAAAAAGGACAGTTGCTTATAGAAACCAGGTGTTCCAAGGAAAGGGTGAGGCGGGAGGTAAATTTTGGGAGTCACCAAATCATAGATGGTATTTAACAGCATGAGACAGAATGAGATCATCAAAGCTGTGTAGATAGTAAAGATAAGAAGTTGGAAATGTAAACTCTGGGCTCTCCAATGTTCAGAAGCTGGGAGAAAAGAGGGACTGAGAAACGGAGACTGAGAAGGAATTAACCAGTGGTATTGGAAGAAACCATGAAAATGTGCTGTCAGGATGTCAAGGAATTCGAGTAAGGCGGAGGAGCTGATCAACTGTAATTGGTACGGGTGGTTGAAATATGATGAGAACTGAGAAACCACTTTTCAATTTAGTGGTTTGATCTCCACAAGAACAGTTTCAAGGACAGGGTAGAAGCAAAAGACTGATGTGACTGGAATTAAATAGGTGGTACAAATAAATGATTAATATGTTTGGCAGCTAATGCAAAAGTTCTGGGTTCGAGTCCACCCAGAAACCTTGGAAGAAAGACCTGGTAATTTACTTCTGAAAAAATTATGCATTGAAAGCCCTATAGAGCACAGTTCTACTCTGACACACATGGGTTCATAGGTTCTTCATGAATTTTAATTAACCCAATGGTAACTGGTACTTTTTGTTTTTTTAAACTGTAAACAGGAAGAGAGAACTTGGTGATGGCTTTTCTTAACAACTCTTGAACCGAGTCTGGTACAGAAAGCAGCAAGTGGGTGAAGAGAAAAGTGAAGCCAAGAGAAAGATTTTTTGCTTGTTCTTTTAAGATGAGAGAAATAACATGGTTGTATGTTACAAAGGAGGCATGTTGTAACTCTGTGGGTTAATGTGCTGGACTGCAAAGTCGGTTTGAATCTGAAGGTCTACGGTTTACGCTCACCAGTCACTCCCCAGAACGGACTCAACAGCACTTAAATACAACATGCAAATGGATGATTTAGTAAAAGGGGAAAATTAATGGTGTAGGACAGAATTGTTGGAACATAAGACTGTTGATTTTATTGGTCCCTACTTGACGGCACTTAACAACAACAATTGATTCCTGGTGTAGCGCCTTAGGATAAGCACTTGCAAGGTCAAGGTCGGCGGTTCAAACTCATCACCAGGTCCTATACAGGATCGCTATGAGTTGGAACTGACGCCACAGCACTTAACAACTGATCAGTATGTTTCTGTGTGTGGGAGATCTTATAAAACACCAAACATTGCACAGGACAGCCTCTCCCTGAAATTAGAAATCAGGTTTTTAGTTCCACAATTGAAAAGTGCATTAAATTAGTCATTTTACAGCTACTGAGTGCCTTATGTTTTATCCAGAAGCTTATTAGCTGCCTTGCAATCAAGGTATCACTATTACTACAGAAAAAGTCATTGCATCTGAGAATTAGGATAAGCAAAGGGCTGCTAACAGCAAGGTCGGTAGTTCAAATCCATCAGCCGCTCCTCGGAAACCCTATACAGGTTCACTACGAGTCTGAAAGGACTCGAGGGCACTTAACAACAATCATAGTTTGCACTTCGTTGTGCTCTTTTCTGCACATTGTGAGCGTCTGAAGGACCAAGATTCTTCATCTCTGTAACCCCAAAGCCTCGTTCAGAGTCTGGCAGAGTGAAATCCCTGCAGCAGAGACGGATTGCTTGCCGCCCGCTGTCCATTTCGTGGCCTTTCGAAGCACCCAGTGAATAACGTTCACATCAGCATTTGTTTTCATTTGTTAAAGCAACTCAGAAAAAAATAGACTGGAACTTATACAGACTTCCAATAGAAATACCTAAAAGGAAGTCAGTATAAGAGTTTAAAACTCTTCGGTTCCTAGCCCTAGGCTGAGGCCGTTCCTCTCCGATGATTTACAAAACTGCTTTTCTGACGCATCAGGTAAACCTGCCCGCGGGCGTCCAGTCAGGGGGAGGTGCGGTCACCTGGAGTTTCCCTGCAGAAACTTCATCTTGGGGTGAGGGAGTCATCCCCCGAGGACCTGTGCCCTCCCTCTTCTCTTCCAGCTCGTAAAAAAATCCTGACACAAAAGTCTCTAGTGCGCTCCAGTAAACGCGGTTTAGAGAAGCGGGCGCCTCCGGCAGCAGTAAAAGCCTCAATTTCAAACTGCCCGGGAGAGGCGTGGGTCACCGACTTTTTGCCACCCACAAAAAAATCCCTCTGTCTCCTCCGCAGTAGTTACGAAAGTGGTCGAGGGTGCAGAACCGAACCACGCGGAGCCCACCACCGCGGCCCAAGGGGCACAGCACAGCTCGGCGTGGCGCCCCCAGCGCGCCTTCCCGCTCTGTTCTCTGGGATCCAGCGGCGCGGACACGCCAGGTGAGGAGGGGCCGGCGGTCGGCCTGGAGGAGGGGGCTGAGCCGGCTCCGCCCGTCTAGGCGGCTGAAGCGCGGCGCTGTCTCCCCCGCCGCCCAGTTGGTAGCCTCTGGTTGAGCGGCCAAGGGTTGGGGGAGGAGTGGAGGCAGTGGCGGCCGGGCAGAGGAGGGGCGAGCTTACTGCACACAACTAGTCCGGAGTGGCCGGCGGGAGCGGCGGCTGGGCCGGCGCTGGCGGCCCGAGGGAGGAAGGGAGGGCGGGGGAAAGGGCAGGGCGCGAGGGCGGTGGGGCCCGCGGAGAGTGGCGGCTCGGTGGAAAGATGAGACGGTGAGTGGGCGCCGGGGGAACGGAGTTTCTTTTACTTCTCTTCCTGGCGGTAGGGACAAAAGCCCGGGGTGGGGTTGGCTGAACCTGAAATGAGCAGCTTTGGGGATCCCGGACCCCGTTCTGCTTGATGGGACCTCTGGCCAAGGGGACCCTGGGAAGAGAGTGTGGGGATGGGGAGCCACTCATAGGACGATTGTAGGTAACCGGTGGGATTTGGGACTACTTTTTGCGGAGTTTTCAGGCATGCCCAGGATCGAGCTGCTTTTCTGAGTGAGGGTTGAAAGAGAGGGTCTGCATCTAGTTGATGGGGAGCAGGATTCAGAAATGATTATTGTTATTGTTAAGTGCAGACGAGTCGGTTTTGACCCGTAGCGATCCTGCATAGGGTTTCCGAGGAGCAGCTGGTGAGCTTGAACCGCCGACCATGTGGTTCAAACTGACTTTGCAGTCCAGAGCATTAACCCACAGCGCCACAACAGGACTTCCAGAAATGATGACCCTCTCCCCAAAATCTGACTAGCTGCACCAGATCCAAAATGAGACAAATTTCTGCTTCCAAGCTCTTTCAAGAGGGGGGCTCCTAACGGCTGATCAATTTTAACATGTTGAGTGCCATGGAATTGGTTCCGACTCATATTGAGCCTGTGTTGGATTTCCAAGGAGCGACTGGTGAGCTTGAACCATCGCCCTTGCAGTTCAAGCGGACCTTGCAGTTCAGTGCGTTAACCCACAGTACCACACCAGCACTGAGTCCTCCGAAAAGTTTCTGGCGTGGCTGTTTCCCCACCGCTGGAGATAGCGGCTGGAATCCTTGTAGAACTTTTGAAACCTCTGTATAGCCGGCGCTCAGCTTTGTGAAGGCGTTACTCAAAAGTTAACTGGTGCATTTACTAACTCAGCCCAAAGAATAATTACTTATAAAGTGCTGTAAACCTGGCTAACTCCTGCCCCCGCCAGGAAATTAAAAGGCTGACAGGCTGTCCCCTCCCAAGGTTGGGGTTTCCTGTTTGAAAGAATTTAGGAAGTCGAACCTGCTTCAACCTTTACTCATCTACCTTTCTTTTGTTTTGTTAAAAAAAAGAAAAAAGATAGAAGGTCGACTACCGCCTTTTTAGCTTGGTAGATCCTTGCCCCGAACTTGGAAATCCTTTTGACTGGCCCTGCCCTTATCCCTAGAAGTCTTCCTTCTGCATGTAGCTCTTGAGTTCTGGAGTGCACAGATAGGCAGAGCCAGGCACAGCTGAGAGAGCTAGGAGAAGAGAAATAAAAACGAGTTGTTTTAGTGTAAATACTTGTCAATCACATTTCCCTTCATTATAGTAATGCATAAGTTTAACCTTCCTAGTTGGCTTACTATAAGCGTTTGAGTATGACATCTCTGGGATTCTAACATCATCTGAGAGAGGTCTGAGGTCTAAAAGAGGTTCACAGTTTCACAGGGTTAAACTCTTGCCCTGAGAGCTCTTGAATTCTTGGTTCCTGGTAGGATAGCAACAGAGTCATTTTATTTGAGACAAATAAACCTTTAGAGTTGCTCACTTTTTTAACAGAGCGACCATATCCCTGGTGCTATTGCCCTCAATTGTGTAAGCATTTGTTTGAATAAAGAACTGAAGTTTCTTTGAAAAGTAACAGTTGTGTCTATTCATGCTTCCCTTTTCATGCCCTTTGATTTAATTATTTAAAGGATTGTTTTTTGGCCGTATACATTGAATGTTGAACATTGAAACATTATGTGTATTTAAGAAACTCTGTAAAGTCTGCAAACTGTTTATAGATGGCGTGAGGGGGGAGATGAGTTTTTGTTCTTAGTTGACTAGTGTCAACTTTGCCTCCTGAGACCTGGAGGTTTGCAAATCCCAGCCTTTCTCACAAGTGGAAAAATGAGATGTTTGGTTAAGAGTAGTCATCATTTCAGTCCGTGTGCATGGTTTAGACTGTTTCTTGCAGCTGCCAGCTGCTGTTCTTTTGGGACCTAAGACACACTGTAGGGGGTGTCTGCTAAATCCTTGTTTGAAGTGGGGGTGGAAAAGATGTTTGGGAAATTGGGTTAAGAGCTTGCTAATGCCTATTTCAAGGAGCTCTGGTAGCACAATGGTTATGGATCAGGCTGCTATCCTCAGGGTCAGCAGTTCGAAACTACCAGATGTTCTGTGGGAGAAAGATGAGGCTTTCTGTTCCTAGCCAGAACCGACTCCACGGCACATAACAACAAAGCCTATTTTACAGAACCCTGACTGATAACCTATTCACTTTCACAGCCTTTCCAGAAAAGCTAAAGTGATTAAACAAACTATTGAGTTTTGCTATTTTCTTTAAAGCTCTACAGACAGCCTCCCCATTACGTACACTCAACTTACATATAACCCATAGTTACAAACCAATTCCTGGAAAGCCTGTTACAGGCAGTCCCAAGATTATGAGCAGAATTCCATTCCTAAATCTTTATGTCAAATTTGTTTATATAATGCAGCAGTTAGGTATGATTCATATATAAAGTTAGTCAACTGGTTTGTGTTAGTATATAGGGAACCCTTCTATGCATAAAAAAAGAGAAACACTTTGAGATATGAGATACAAGAAAACATCCTTAACATAATAATGCATTAATAGTAAGAATCATTTTGATGCATGTTGCAAAATGGTGCCCATTTGTTATTACAAACCATTGTATGTACCTGGAATTTTAATAATGGCTTTAAGGGGTAGGAGTGGAAGTGTTGCTGGCTTGTAACTATAGGTTATGGGTTGTTCATTAAGTCAACCCTTTATAATCCAAGGACTAAGCAGTGCTTTTTATATTACTAGATGTATATACAATGGTTCATAATTACAGATGGGCACTGCTTTACCATGCACATTTAAACATTATTATTACTGGAGTCCTGGTGTAGCTCTGTGGGTTGATGCGCTGGACTGCAAAGTTGGTTTGAATCACAAGGTCCACGGTTCAAATTCACTAGCTGCTCCTTGGAAACCCTATATAGGGCCCCTATGGGCCAGACCCTAACAACAACATTACTAATGCTATATTATTGTTAAGTATGTGTTCATGTATCTGGAAGTGTTTCTTTAGTGGTTTTTATACATAGAAAGGTAACACTATAAACTAGGACAAACCACTGACTAATTACTTTGGATGTAAATAATATTTAACTGTTTTAATGTATGTACAAATTTTAGTTTAAAACAGATTTAGGGATGAAACTCGTTAATAATCTGGGGACTGCCTGAAGTCTCTTAGTAGAGGTTGATTCTAGAGTGTCCTGGAGAAGTTAGTGTGAAAAACATGATTCCTTTTAGATAGTGGTATTGTTTCATAGTGACCCTGGCTAGGGTTTCAGAGGCTGTAAATCTTTACAAGAGCAGAAAGCCTTATCTTTCTCTCACTGAATGGCTGGCAGATTCAATCTGGTGACCTTGCAGTTAGCAGTTCAGTTTGTAATTCATTATGCTACCAGAACTACTTAAAAAAAAAAAAACTTTTTTATTGTGAATTGTGTAAAGTTTTACAGAGCAGATACTTTTTTTTTTTTCTTAAATGTTTATTGTGAATTATGTGATAGTTTACATGGGAAAACATTAGTTTTACATTCATTCTGTCGTATATCATCTCATTGTCATGGTTACACTCCCCTCCATGCATCATCAACCAACCAAAGAGTATACCCTGCAATCCTTCCCGGTACCCCCCCCCAGGTCTTCAGCACACAGTCACTTTCCCTCTCTGGATCTAAAGGCTCCAGCTGCTCCAACGCTCCACATCATCATCTCTGCCTCCATTTCAGGCATCACTGCTTCTCTGGGTAGGGTCCCGCTCTCTGCTCCTCTCCCTTGATGGTCCTAGGGACCTCTCAGAGCAGATACATTTAAAGAGTAGTTAAGGTTATAACTTTGTGTGCTTATTTTCAACCCTTAGCAGGGGGGTGGTACTGTGGACTTGCAAAGACGTGGTTTTCTTCCAAGTGGAATATATGTGCTTAACACATTTGGCCATCTATACAGAAGTTAAAACCTTGCTGTATTTTAGATATTAGCTGGATACATGTCATCCACTCTCAAACTACAACAAATTCTAAATGATCTGCTCCATCATGAGGCACCTAACTTACATTGTTAAGTGTCATCGAGTTGATTCCAACACATAACAACTCTATTTAGGGTTTCTAAAAGTGGCTGGTGGGTTAGCAATCCAGTGCTTATCCAATGGTGCCACATCAACTAGAGAGGAGAGGGGTGGATTTGCCCATCAGGAAATATTGGCAATGCCTGTAGACATTTTTGGTTGTCACAACTTAGGGGAGAGGCATGCTACTATCATCAAGTGGGCCAGGGATGCTGCTTAATGTTCTACAATGCACAGAATCCACAAACAGAATTATCCACCCCAAACCCTATACTAGAGTACTACCTCTGGGGAATATGTTAACAAGATTAGGGATCTTAATCTAATTTAGATCCTCAAACTTGTTTGACTGTGTTCTTGCTCAACACAAAGGGAGCATGTCATTGAAAGCTTTTTTTTTATCTGTAGCAGATTTTTTTGCCCTTGGCATTCCAAGTCTTAATGCACCATAGTGGTGAAGGTACTTGCTTTGCTCATTGATGACATTGAGTTGGCTTAAAATCAGAATTTTGGAGTTTTAGAGCTGAAGATAGCTTAAGAAATTGCTAAATTCAATACTTTTTCATTTCAAGGATGTTAAACAAAAGCAAGACACACAAAGATCAGTGATTCCTAAGGTCTCAAGTGAGTTTCATGGCAGATGCAGTTCTATATACAGCCCAGAATTAGTGAATTTAGAAATCAATATTCAATGAATGGATTTTTTTTTTTTTCCATTTAAGTTGGACCCAAACTTCTGTGGAAAGAGCTCAAAGGTGTACCCTGTGAATAAACTCATTGCTGGGGGAGGGGTGGCATTAGCAATGGTGACTGGGGAACATATGCCTGCCTGGGTGCTGCAGTCACAAGAAGGGGCTAACTCCATTGTGTGACC